AATTCTGTCTTAGTTACGTAGTGCTCCTGCAACGGAAATGCCACAGATGGGTGGCTTTACAAACAACTTTATTTTCTCACAGTTTAGGAAGCTGGAAGTCTGAATTCAGAGTACTGGCTCTAGGAGAAAGTTGTCTCTGTCTATCAGCTCTGCAGGAAGGTCCTTGTCTCTTTGAGTTTCTGCTTCTTTGCAGTCTTCATGTGGCTTGGCATCTCTCTCCCCCCATCTCTGATTCCTAGCTTAATTGTTTAATCTCTTATATCTTAAAAGATACTGACTCAAGAGATACCCGACACTATTCATGCCTAATTAACATAACAAAGGCAACTGTAAAAAAAAAAAAAAAGGGATAGCAGGCAGATCTGACCTCCTCTAACTTCACCAGAGGGAGAGAGAATCACCATCAGTATCAATAGCTCAAGGCTGACTCCTATGAAGCCAAACTCTGACATCCTTCCTCTTTCCAAACTTTTTCCCAATTCTGACACCAGTCTTCCCTCCCAAGGTACACTCTACTTCTCTGCTGCATTCAGTAATTCATTGCATTTGCCACCCAGAGCTCACAGACAATACTCACAAACTTACTAGGTTTATTAGGGACGGAAGAGGCTATAATTCAGAATCAGGCATGACCCAGGATATAGTTCTTCAGTCAGGATAGCTTCTAGGCCATGACCACAGCCAGGCCTCTCCCTGGCCCTTTACTCTCAGCCCCTTATCCCCTTAGGCTCTGCCCTGCTCAGGCAAATGCTAAAAGCTCTTTAGCTATGCCAGTAATTCCCCAGAGGCACCCCATGCCACTTAGAGGCCTCCTACCCAAAGACATTCAGCTCTCTCCTATCCGTGGGTTGGCACAACCACTTTAACTGCTTTGCTCCGTGGGTGGGTGTCTTAGTTATCTACTGCCGCTATAACAGAAATACTACAAGTGAATCATTTAACAAACAGAAATTTATTTTTCACAGTTTAGGAGGCTAGAAGTCTCAGTTCAGAATTCCAGCTCTAGGGGAAAGCTTTCTCTCTGTCAGCTCTGGAAGAAGGTCTTTTGTCTCTTCAGCTTTGCTTCCTGGTTCCTTGCAGATCTCCATATGTCTTGGCATCTATCTTACCTCATCTTTGCTTCTCTTGATTGCTTGTTTAATCTCTTTTATATCTCAGAAGAGTGTGACTCAAGACATAACCTACACTAATCTTGCCCAGTAACATAACAAAGACATCTCGTTCCCAAATGGGATTATAACCACAGGCATAGAGGTTAGGATTTACAGCACATATTTTAGGGGGATACCAATCCATCCTTAAGAGGGACAAATGTGAAGTCTCACATTAGGCTCCCAAAAATCAAATGTTACAAATGCAGCCTGGAGTTTGGCACCTCAAGGATTGACTTCTATAGGATTAAAGAGTCATAGTCAATGTGTGACATCATCAGTTCCTGCCATTTCCAACCTTGCTCAGCTGGTGTGTGGGTATGAGCCAGTACTGAAGATGTTAGTGGTTACATTAGCAACCCCATGCTTAGCAATAGAGTAAGGCTTGGGAATAACCTTTTTGGGTGTATATGTTTGGTAACCAAAAAACAAATCAAATTCACTGCCATCGAGTCAATTTTGAGTCATAGCAACCCTCATAGGGTTTCCAAGGCTGTAAATCTTTTTCTTTTTTAATTTTTAATTTTGTGATGTGGGTGCAGGTTTACAAAGCAGATTCGTTTCACTTAACAAGTTCATGCACATTTGGTTTCACAGCCCCGATTACAGTCCCCAACCATAAAAAGCTCTCCTCCCAGTGACTGTCCCTTCCCTTTTCTATGCATTCCTGTCTGCTCAGCTTTCCCTGTATGTAAATGCTGCCCTTCTGATGTCTCATGGTTGATTGATCTGGGGGTGCAGCTCCCTGGGATAGGTGTTCTGCTTTTAGGTCTTTCTGCTGTTTAGATGAGAGCTAATCCACAGAAGTTAAGTCCAGTTCCAGGTCCAAAGGATAACCCGGGGCCATAGTCTTAGGGGTTCCACCAGTCTCTGACCAGTAATTCTGGTCATTTTTGTGTTTTTAAATTTTTTTCCACATCTTTCCTCCCGCTCTCTCCAAAATCTCCAATTTTGATCCCTTTCCAAGTGGCTGGCATTGGTAGCCAGGCACAGTCTACTTCTTCTGGTCTCAGGATCATGAAGGCTGAGGTCCCTATGGTCCTTCAAATTTTTGGACTTACTGTTTCCAAATGATTTTTATTTTCTTCATTTTTCGTTGCTCCAGACAAGTGGAGACCAATAATTGCATTTTAGATGGCCTCTCAATAGCTTTTAAGACCCCAGTTGCTACTCACCAAAGTAGCATGTAGAATGAGATTTTTATGTACTGTGATGTGCCAGTTGAGCATGATGTCCCTCAAAACTATGGTCGAAGCCCAACGGCCCAGTGACTCTCTCCCTCAAGGTGTTTGGTTGTCTCTGAGAAGCTACCTTGTCCCCTGTTAACTTCTGTACTGTCTGTGGACATTTTTATAGCACAAGTACATATGTAAGACTGTCTTCAGCCAAATCTACCCTTGCTCTTGGTACATTCCTGTTTGCCTACCCACACCTGATCTTCTCACTTATCTACGCATTCATGCTGTAATCTTTATGGAAGCAGACTGACTCATCTTTCTTCCTCAGAGTGGCTGATGTATTCGAACCACCGACCTTTTACTTAGCAGCCAAGTGCCTTAACCACTGCACCACCAGAGCTCCTTATATATGTGGTAAAATATATGTAATATATTTTTTAACCATTTTTTAAGTTCACAATTCAGTGACATTGGTTATATTCACAATGTTATACAGCCATCACCACTATCCAAAACTTTTTTTCATCATTCCAAACAGAAACTCTGTATCCATTAAGCAATAGCTCCCCTTTCTCCCCACTCCTCAGGCCCTGGTGATCTTTAATCTACCTTCTCTCTCCTTGCACTTGCCTATTCTAGCTACCTCAGTAGAAATGCGATCATACAATATTTGTCATTTTGTATCTGACTTACTTCGTTCCACATAATGTTTTCAAGGTTCATCCTGTTGTAGCATGTATCAGAACTTCATTTCTCCATATGGCTAAGTAATAATTCCATTGTATGTACATTCTACATTTTGTTTATTCATTCATCTGTTGATGCACATTTAGGTTGCTTCCACTTTTTGGCTATTGTGAACAGTGCTGCAGTGAACATTGTATACAGGTTTCTGTTTGTGTTCTTGCTTTCAGTTCTTCTGGGAATATACCTGGGAGTGAAATTGCTGGGTCATACAGTAGTTCTGTGTTTAAGTTTTTGAAGAACCGCCTGATTGTTTCCCACAGCAGCTGCACCATTTTACATTCCCACCAGCAATGGATGAGGGTTGCAGTTTCTCCACATCATTGCCAACACTTGTTATTCTCCATTTTGCTTTGTATTTTTATAACATCTATCCTAGTGAGTGTGAGTGGTATCTCATTGTCATTGGCACAATGCCTTTTAGCTACAGCAATCAAAAAGCATCATGGGGGCAGTAGTCTCTGAGCCAGGCCCTGATATCCAGGTAGAATTGGTCACAGGTGCGAGGAGAGAGCAGCAGTCAAAGGAAATCATAGAGTCAGGGCTGGGAAGTAACTGGCTTTGTGAGGGAAGTAGAAGAGGAAATTAAGTTTGGAAAGGTCGGTTGGGCACCCAGTGGAAGGTGCTGGTCCAAGGCTGATCCTGTAAGCAGTGAAAGCCAGGGAGGCCTGGGGTAGGAGAGTGATGTGCTGAGAGCCATGTGGCGGGAAGGCAAATGTGACAGCAGCTTGAGTGGCATAGTGTCATTTAAGTAGCTTTAAAGGTTTGTTGACAGAACATGTAGATTGGATAGGGAAGAGGAGGAGTCCCTCTTGGTGGTTTGGGCTGGCCTAATGAGGGCAGGGATGGATGGTCTGGGGTGGAGCAAGAGCTGGGGGAGGGCAGTGGGGACCAACTGGGTCTGGGGTAGGGGAGTGGAATTCAGTTCATTCTCAAGTTTTTTTTAATATTACAGCTAAACCCTCGTCAACATACACAGGCTGACCATGCATAACCTTCCAGACTATGCCAGGTCAAGGCCAGTCAGGCCATGTGTGAGCGTTAGGATGTTGTGTGTGCCGTCCCTGCTCTCGGAGTCTAGTTGAATCATGGGAAGCAGTGCATGGCTGGTGAACCTCAGTGTACAATCAAGAGCCGAGGGCTATGGCAGGTCTGGAGCAGTCTAGCTAAAGGAGAGGCCCCATGGGCTAGGGCTTCTCAGAACAGGTGTCCTGGAAAGCTGAGGAGAAGTGAGGGGAAGGCTCCCAGATACAGACCCCTTCGTTCCTTCACGGAGGCCATTTTAGACATCCTTTCCTGTTGTTGTTGTTGTTGTTTGCCGTTGAGTCGGCCCCGACTCATAGCAACCCCTCCTTGGGTTTCCGAGGCAGTATCACTACGGAAGTAGGATTGCCCAACCTTCCTTCCGAGGAGTGGCTGGTGGGTTTGAACCGCCAGCCTTCTGGTGAGCAGTCATCCTTCCCTAGGCCCCTCTAAAACGATGAGCCAGCATTCCAGGTCACCTGCCCATGTCACAAGTCGAAATCCCTGTGATGCCCACAGCCATCTTGTCTATCTTTTTTCCCAGGCCATGTTTATTTATAGTGCCATTCCGGTACCTTCCAAAGCTATCTGTCTGATCCTTTTAAGGATCAATTGCAAACAGACCTTGGTATTGGGCAGCTTTTTAGTCATTTAATGCAAATAGCCGCACTGCTTTGCAGGTCAGGTTTTAATGATCTGGAATCGATCCAAGCTAAGTGGCTTTTGATCTTGCTGCAGAGTGAAGATGCCCCCCAGAAGCCAGGAGCTGCCGGGCCACATGCTCCTTATTAGAGCTGATAGCTTGATTCTTGCTGCATTTTCTAGTCTGTCTCAGAGTAAATTTTTTCTCACCTATTCTTTATGTTTGAATGTGTATGTGGGTTTTTTTCCCCCTGTCTCATAGGCAATTTCGAGTGTGGAAATCCAGAGAAGCTAAAAAGCAAATGCATCCCTGTTATGGAAGCCCAGGAATACATAGCCGTAAGTAGGCTGCGGTATTTATCCACTCCCAAGAGGCCTTGATGCTTTTGTATTGATCTTTCCAGCCCTGTGTTTTTTTTTTTTCTCCTCTTGGTTTTGTGTTTGCTTTTTGGCTTTCTTTTTTCTTTAAGCGTAGTTGAGTGGTAAAACCAAACCAAACTCACTGCCATCAAGTTGATTTCCAACTTACAGCGACCCTCATTGGTTTTCCGAAGTGGTGAATCTTTACAGAAGTAGATTGATTGCCCAGTCATCCTTCTGTGGAGTGGCTGGTGGGTTTGAAACACCAACCTAATGGTTAGCAGTCAAATGCCTTAGGCACTGAGCGAGCCACCAGAGCTCCAGCTGAGTGGTAGGCTACGTTAAATTAAGGCAGCAGTGAGGGTGACTGAGGACTGAGACAAAGGTGCACCATGGCCCAGAAGTGGGCCTGCTGTTTGTGGGCAGTGAGGTCACGGATGCGCATCACTGCCAGCTGCCCTTCCCTTAAGTTGCCCTGTGTCTTGCTCCTCCTCTGCTTTGTTTTCCTCACCTTCTCTCAGCATTAAGAACCCATACTTACCCTGGTCCTCTCTCTGCCCTTTATGATGACTGTGCACACTGCTTAAGGTCCTTTTGCTCCTCCACATGGCCTCAGGATGGTAGAATGATCAAACTTTGGAGCTGGCAGGGACCTTAGGGGTTGTCTGCTTCAATGTTCATTTCACAGATAAGAAAACTGAGGCCCAATGAAGGGAAGGGACTTGCCCAAGGGCATATAGCTGGTAATGGCCTGACTGGGAGCGGCAGCCAGGCCCGGGTCCCCATCCTAGCACTCTTTATCATTTTGTCCTGAGATGACCTGCCAGCTCTCTGGACTCTGATGCTTCAATCCTTGAGAAAATTACATTCTCCTGGCCTCCTTTGAGCTGCACTGTTTTCCTGTGTGTGCTTCCACATCACCTCCCTCAGTTATAGCCCCTGCCTTGGCTTTCATCAGCCCCCAATTTCATACCTGCCAGTTAGCTGTGCATTTAGCAGAATGGGTTTGGGGCCTGAGGAAGACACAGGAGAGGGCCATCTTAATCCAGCAACTTATACAACTAATCTCCTGGCTCCTCCCATAGAATGTGACAGGCAGCTCCGCAGCCAAGTTTGAAGCGGCGTTGACCTGGATCCTGAGCAGTAACAAGGACGTGGGCATCTGGTGAGTGCAGACAGACATCACGAGGTAGCAGGACAGCGGTGGGCATATGCACACGGCCTGCTTCTCCACTGCCAGCTGACTTCCCTGCTCCACTGAAGGTGTATCAGGTCTGAAGCTAGAGGGCAGGTCTCCTAGCTGAGTCACCATAGGCTAGATGTGAAGCATCTGGCAAAGGGAGGAAGCAGCGTTCAGATGAAGTCTAAGGAGCAGTTTCAAGATGAGACACAAAATCCAAGTGTCAGGATGTCCTCCTGGTATTCCACCCAAATTCTGTTTTAAGTAACTCAGTTGCCCTTTTAATTCACCAGCCCTGCATGCTTTGCTGGAGGAGGCATTTTCCTGCACTTACTCACCTCGGGTGCTAGTTTTCATTTGTAGAAGAAATAATTCTGTGTGTTGGCTTTGCCTGATAGGGAAATTGCAAAAGGAAATACCGGATTTCATTCTGATCAGGCACTTCTGCCTCATTTTTGTCACTAGTAAGCACTATTAGCTGAGATAGCCAGCTTTTCACCTCCCTGAAAGGCCTGATCTGGCTGCTTGGCACAGAGCAGGAGCCCTAGTTTAGGCAGGACACCCCCAGAGTCCTCTTGTTGGGAAAACGTCGTCATGGAGCCCCTTCCCATTTCTCAGTGTGTCGGGATCCCAGTTCAGGTTCAGCTTCTATATTAAAACATACTCTGGGGTTTTGTTCTCTCCTCTAATCCACCCGAATCACTAATTCCAGCAGTGGTGCATCCAGCAAAAGCCCCTCAGGCAGCTCACCCCAAAGCTGGGTGACTGGATGCCTGGCTTAAAATAAACAAACAAACTGCTCTGAGCATCTGAGCGGTTTTCCTGTGTGAGAAAAGACAGAGAGAATACAGATTTTATCCTCCACTGTGCTCACCAAAGCTGCTAAAGGAGATAGAAGAATGGTGACACCTGCCTCTCCATATTCACGAAGCAGTCTGGGTAGAGGCTAAGCCCAGCTCAGATGACCAGTGTTAGAGTGGGTCGTGAGAAATTAGGACACTTCACACACCAGCCGTATCAGGGTGCAGCTTTCAGAGGAGGATAATTGCTGCCCCGGGTCACCTAGCTGGAAAACGGCGCAGGTGATTGCATCCCCGAGTGTCCTGGTGACCCCTCACTGGGGGCAAGGGGCCAGTGCTGTAGGCGCTATATGGCAGGAGACTGGCCATGGAGTATCAGGGGGTTTCCATTCCCTGCCGGCCTTGAAGATGGTGCCATCCCCCTATCCCACCCCCTACACCACCACCCGATCTTCACACTTAAACAGCTTATATGCCTCCCTGTCATGGAGGAAAAGCGCAACCTCCCCACTTCTGTCTTTCAGTTCTTGCTATGCAATTGCAGAGCCACTGATTCAGTAAACATTTCCATTTCTCTATGCTGGGAGGTGAGAATCCAATTTACAGTTTAATCTTCTGCACGCTGAGAGGGGCTGTCAAAGGCCCAACAGAGGGGGACGTCACTTTAGCAGTAGGGGTTCAAGTCTGCTGCCGTCTTTAAAGCTTTATTCTTTCTAAGTAGCCAATGTGGGAAATTTCTGGAAAGAGTGCAACCGAGATACCAAGCCTATTTTATAAGCAAGTGGAAGCCTTGAAGCCCCTCCTTCCTTCATCTCCTCCTATTTAAAGTGGGGTTTATGCCACAGCTCCTAGGAGCTTTTGAGCAGGTAGAACCCTGTGTTCCTATTTCAGGTTGAAAGGGGAGGACCCGTCCGAATTGGTGACAACCCTAGACAAAGTGGTGTGCCTGGAGTCCTCCCGCCCCCGCATGGGTGTCGGCTGCCGCCTGAGCCGAGCCCTGCTCACAGCGGTCACCCACGTACTTATCTTCTTCTGGTGTAAGTCCCCCACCTCCCTCTGCAGCCCTCCCCCACCAGGGCTGCTTGCACACAGCAACCCTACCCCCACCACCCCCTGCTCAGCGACACTCGGAGCCATGAGTGATGAGTTATAGAAATCCTAGGCCCAGAGAGTTCATTTCTGTCTAGTGAACCTGAGGTCTGTCTAATAAAACAGAGGAGATGAACAAGTCAGCCTCTGCCCTGGATTGTCTTTACCTTTGACAGTTGGTGGCAGGTGTGTGATGGAAGATAACTAGAAGTGTCCTTGATTCAGGGCAGGAGCCCTTCAGCTTTCCCAAGAGGGGGCTGGGGCTGGGCCACGCGTTGTCCCTTCCAGAGGTTCTGCTGTATCTCAGTGTGCAAGGCCCAGGCCCAGAAAGAGGCACAGTGGGGGGCCTGGCCTAATTTTACTCCATGAACAACATAAACCTCTCCTGGGGAGCTACAGCTAGCCTGATGAAAGCAAGAAGGACCTGCAGTGCTGAGCTGAAAAGGAGAGCACTGTCTTGTCCCCTGACTTCAGGTGCCGCCTTTGAGCAGAGACCTCAGGGTGTCTCTGAAGGTGAAAAGGCCAAGTCGCAGAAATCGCCAGCTCTCCAAAGATAGCAGGAGTTACAAATCACAGGCCATCTCGGTGTGCACACAGCCCCTCACCCACCCACCAGGCACAGGGATCATTATCGGCAGCAGCATCTCCAAATACAAAGGGCCCGGCATGTATATATGTATGAAATGCTGCGTTCTGGCACACGAGGGAGGAGATGAAAGCCCTGGAATGCAGTGGGGCGGAGCCAAGATCTGGAAGGCTGGGGATGCTCTGAGGTGACAGCCGGCAAAGGAAGATGATCGCTTAATAGCACATCCTCCCTGTGCATGTCCACATCGTTTTTTCCTGCATACTGCCCTGTGCCTCACACATAGTAGGTAGTCAGAACACATTTGGGAGGGTGACCCACAGCCTCCTGCTCAGAGTTGCCCAGAGTGCAGGCCCCCGAGTCTGAACAGCAGAAGGAGAGGTGATGGATTAACAATGTTCTGTTCTCTCACAGGCTTGGCTTTCTTGTGGGGACTCCTAATTCTCCTGAAATACCGGTGGCGGAAGTTGGAAGAAGAAGAGCAGGCCATGTATGAAATGGTGAAGAAGATTATAGGTGCGTGGCTTCCTGAGGAAAGGGCTGCCGATGCCTGCTGGAGGGTCCTTGCCTAAACATTGTCCTCCTTCCTGCAGATGTGGTCCAGGACCATTATGTGGACTGGGAGCAGGACATGGAGCGCTACCCATATGTGGGCATCCTGCACGTGCGTGACACCCTGATACCCCCGCAGAGCCGGTGAGTCTCCCCCATCACTGGGGTTGCTGGGGGAAGGGCAAGGGCGCCTTACCTGCTGAGCTCCACAGGAGTGCCAAAGCCTTGCAACAGGGATTAGCTGAAGGCAGCTCAGCCCCCAAGTCACAAGTAGGGGTAGTATTCATACTTCCTCTGCTCCTTCAGAGCGCATTGGGCTCTTCGTGCAGAGTGAGCCAGATAAGATATATGAAATCATAGTCCCACTTCTCTGTAGCAGTGGTCACTCTGTTAGTTGGTATCAACTGAGATGCTTTGGGCTGCAAGTAATGGAATCCCCTTCCCCTAGCTGACTCAAGCAGTAAAGGATCCGATTAAAAAAAAAAAAAAACAAACTCACTGCCATTGAGTTGATTTGACTCATAGCGACCCCTCCTCAGGTTTCTGAGGCAGTATCTCTATAGATCACCCAATCTTCCTTCCGAGGAGTAGTTGATGGGTTTGAATCCTAGTCTTCTGGTTAGCACTCAGATGCCTTAGGCACTACACCACCAGAGCTCCCAAATGATCTGATGGAGCCACGCAAATAGAATCTGGGCTCCAGGCACTGAACAGTCAGGTCTCTGGCTCTGTCCTCTGTGATTTTCATGGTCCTGCCCTCCCCCATGGATGTTGTTGGAAGGCTAAAGTCTCTTGTAGTCACGTGGTGGTGGCCAGTAGCAGCTGAAGCAATATCTGCCTTGCCATAGCCAGCAGGGGAAAAATGGGCTTCCAATTTTATGAGCAAGAGAAAACATTCCCAGAAGCCTCCAGTGACACACTTCTTGAGGCTTCTTTGACTATAATTGGATACTTGTCTATAAATCAGTCACTGGCAATACAGAGGGGATTATTCTTCAAATTTTAACTATGACCCACAATCAGAAACCCATATTCCTGGTGTAGTCTACACACACACGCAACATAGACATAAATAGAAAGCAGTTTCACAATGGTGGATAGGTCTGCTTCCAGGGGACGTGGCTCTGTGGGGAAGGGGAGCAGGCCTTTGCCATACACAGCTCCAGGAGCACCTCCCAAATGATTTGTGAATGTTAGAGTTGGTCCTAAGGTGGAGCCCTGACCAAACGGGGTGGAGTCTGCAGCAGGCAGGGCCTACCGCAGTGTCAGCACAACCTATGTGGCTCCTTCATGGCAGACTGTTTGGGAGCCTTCAGCGATGATGCTGAGCACTCACAGTGAGTCGGGCACTGCTCTGAGCCCTCCACAGGTGTGAACTCAGGATCCTCACCACAGCCCTGTGAGGCAAGGCCTGGGAGTGCCCCCATTTTACCAGTAAAGAAAGTGAGACCTGAGGAGGTTAAGGAACTTGCTGAGAGTCCCATGCCTAATGGCATTCTGTGCTCCCCACCACCAGGCTGTATTATCGACTTTGCCCATTTCCGTGCAACCTAAGAGGAATTGAAGAGTAGGACATTTCTTTGTTGTTATGTGCCATCGAGTCAGCCCCGACTCATAGTGACCCCTCCTTGGGTTTCCGAGGCAGTATCACTACAGAAGTAGATTGCCAAACCTTCCTTCCAAGGAGTGGCTGGTGGGTTTGAACCGCCAGCCTTCTGGTTAGCAGTCAAGTACCTTAAGCATTATGCTACCAAAGCTCCCAAGTCAGACATTTAAGGGCTCATTTTAAATATGAAGATGCCTAGTAACTTCCATCCCCACGCTACTCCTCAGAAAGGTGAAAAGCAGGAAGCTTAGAGAGAACAGACTGCCAGTGGGGCTTGGGCTTGTTTCCCACCATGAGTTGGTCCTCAGCCCTCTAGCCCCAATGTACACAGACAAACTCTTACCAGCTCTTAGCCCTGCCTCTCTGTTGCTGTGTGACCATGGGTAATTCACTCAGCCTCTCTGAACCACAGTCTCCTCATCCATAAAATAGAGAAAATACTATTGCTTTGCAGAGAGTTGTGAAGAGAGGCTATCATTCTCTCATCCATGCACTCATTTACTCAACAAATGTTATTGAGTATCTACTACATGTCAGACTGTCCTGGACCATGGGGAGACAATGAGAAAGGGAACGAGCAAAAATCCCTGCCTTGTTGGAACATGTATTATAGGGAAAGAGACAGATGAGAAAATACATAGACAAATGTGTAATATTAGGTAGTGATGAGTCCTGAGGAAAGGGGGGATCGAACATTAGGGAGGTGGCCGCAGTCACTGCCTGGCACTTGAACACTCACCAGAAGGCATCCGTTATTGTTTGGGTTTAAATTATATCCGACACTTAGACTCGCTTAAATATGAATGTGAAATGGCATTGCAGCTTGTCTGCAGGCCTGAGTCACCCTGCTCCTGTGAATAGTATTAGCACAGGCATCGAGAGCGGCCTTGGTTGGTGCGTGGCTCCACAGGCAGGGGCAGCTGTGCAAGGATCTGACCTCTTCCTGTCAGTGAACCCCAAGAGGCTCAGGTGCTGTTTCTGGTGCCACCCAGCTGGGCCTTCAACCTCTTGATTCATCTCTCAAGCCACCCAGCCCAGCCAGGCCAAGCTCTCAACACTTAATGATATATCGTTGGCTGTGCGTGGGTACCGTGGGATCAGCAGATGAGGGCCTGTTTGTGAGAGATTGAGAGATTTGAAGAGCTTGTTTCCTGCAAAAAGCAGGGGAGCTGATTAGAGCAGCTGGCTCAGGCAGGCTTGTTCATTACCTGTTAACGGGCAGCTAGGGAAGGAGGGGCCAGAGTGAGGAGCTCGGCCCAACTCTGTGCTGTGCCTCGTCCAGGACCACCCTGGGGGTGGGCATCCTTGGCGCTCAGTCCCCAGAAAGTGTATGGCCTTGGCCAGACCAGCCAAGTGCTAGACAGGCTGTGAGGTCGGTTAGTGACAGGCCTACGCCTGGGGAAGAAAGCCCCTCCACCCCATCTGCTCCTGACTCAGCAGCCAGCTCAGGGCTGTTGCTACCATTTATCCTTTCCTATTGAACCTTCCTGCTCCCACATGTGTGCTCACATCCACACTCTTCCCATCCATGGGGTCATGGGGATGTGGACTCCAAGGCTGAGAAAAGGCTGGGGGCTCAATAAAGGGAAGATATCAAAAGGACCTTCCCTGACTGCCATATGCAATCTTCTTGTCTAGTCTGAAAGGGGATGCAAGGCCCTGGGGACCCAGCAGAGCAGGGACTCTGGCCCCTGGCCTGAGAACCAATGCTGATGACAGGGAGGGCCCCACCTGGTGGCTCTGATTCTGCAGAGTGGCTTCTACTTCTTGGCCTCTGTGGTCAGATGGTTAGTTCATCCCCAGCCTGAAGTTCTGGGAAGTTTGAACCCTCCAGCCCAGTGGTCACTCTTTAATTAACCCACATGAGGCATTAAAATGCAGCCAGCACTGGTAGCAGGGCCAGCCTAGTGGGGACTGCTGCAAGTAGCAGGTACAAGCCAGAGCTGGCAAACCCCACATAGGCCCCTCACACTTACAGATCTGGAGGTGTTCCAGACACCTCAGCCTCTTTCTACTCCCTTTAATTGAAGGCTTTTGAAACAAGAAGGTTGAAGAATCATTTCTCCCTGGCCCAAGACATTTCTCTCCTCTGCAAGAACCCTGTTAGTTCCTGATGGCTTTTCTTCCCCTAAATAAATTCTTCGCTGGTTCTTGGAGCTTTGTTCTCCCCTTGTACGAAGGGCATCCACAGCCCTGCTTGCCTCTGTCTGCAATACTAGCAGGGCTGTGGAGGGCGTGACTCACCCTGCTGAGCCAGCCTCTCTCATTGCAGGCGGCGCATGAAGCGGGTCTGGGACCGAGCTGTGGAGTTCCTGGCCTCCAACGAGTCTCGGATCCAGACAGAGTCTCACCGTGTGGCTGGAGAGGATATGCTGGTGTGGAGATGGACTAAACCCTCTTCCTTCTCTGACTCGGAGCGATAAATCCAGGCAGGGGCCTGTTCCCAGTCAGCCTGTCCCCAGGACAGCCCACTCCAGGGCGCGAGAAGGCCACCAGACCTGCAAGAAGGCCACCAGACCTGCCGGTGCTGAATTCACACTTGCCTTGACTTTCACCCTCCTCCTGACACTGATTCCAAAGGTCTCTCTGTAAAACCTGCAGAGATTAGCTCGTTAGGAAAATGTGGGCTTTCTCTAAGGGCAGAAGGGAGAAACCAGTGCTAAGCAGGCAGCTTCTCCTCCACATTGGGCCAATCCTCTCTGTCTTGCTTTGCTGGAAGAAAAGGAGAAATGGGTTGGTTTGTCACAGACAGAAAAGATAAAAGAGCAGCAGCTGTAAAACCCTGCAGAGCAAGTGTGAGGCTGTGAGCCAGAGCTCATCCACTGCCAGCACGTCCACGTGGCCTGTGAGGTGGACAGCGCCTGTGGGAGGTGGGTTGGGGATAGTGGGTCGGGGCAGCAAGGGGTAGGGGAGCTTGGTTTATGTGCCTTCATGGGATGTTACTGGGAGCTCTAGGGTGAGGGGAAAAAGCCTGTCTTCTGTCTGGGTGAGGCCTCTTTTGTCCTGAAGGGAGAAGATGCTAGAAATTAGAAAAAGTGAGTGTAGGAGAACTGTCTAGAAACACTGAGCAGACATGCAGGGCCCTCAGGTCAGCGGAATGAGCTGCTGATGTGGACTCCTGGGAGGAACCTGTGGTGGGAACAGGGTCCTGAGAGCAAAGAGGAGGGTCAGGGCTGCCCCACAGCCACCACCTTCACAGCCCCTTGGCCTCAGGCAGCTGCCCAGTGGAGAGCCCCATTCCTGGTGCTTCTCAAAATGGTCATAATTTTAGGCCAGACCTGCCTGTTCTAGCATTGCATCAGACCAAGAATGCTGATTCTGGGCCTCGGGAGGCTCGTACCAGGGCTGAGAACCTCGCACTTCCTGTGCACAAAGATGCCCTTGTTTTTACAGAGACCACAACCCCTCGGAGCTGGGGGCTATTTAAGGAGAACTTTCTGCATTGGTGGTTCTGTTGGGCCCTCAGCTGCTGGCTCCCAGGGCAGGGACGAGGTGCAGGGCCCGCACCGATGCCCCCTGCTGGTCGCACAAGAGAAGTACCAGCTAGCACAGCCCTTCATTAAGGCCCTCTCGCCAACTCAGCCTGCATCTGCACAGGAGGCCGGCTCCAGAAACAAAACGGCAGGAGGCCTTCTTAGTTAAGTGCAAGAGAGCCTCTCCAACAGAGCCTCATCCGCATATGTTCTCATCTGCAGCAGGAGACGGGGAGCAAGTGGAAGAGACACAACAGCTGCCTCCAGAAGACATTAAGCACCCCTTTCTGGTCTTACTAGTATTTTTTGTTTTCCTTAATAAACTTCCAGTCTCCATCATTTTAGCAATACTCTCATTTCCTCTGATGTCTGGGTGATCGGCGGGGCTGGACCCTAAGCGCCAGCCCCGTGGTGAAGCAATGTTCTCATAATCAGGCTCCAGCCAGAAGAATAAGAAACACCAAAACAGGCTTCAGTATCAGGGTGGAAACTGTTGGATGAATAAACTATTTATTAAAAATGGATGTGTTTCTCACCGTGGTTCTTTCCCTTTTCCCCCAAAGCAATGCATAAGGAATGACTTTGTGTGGTGTTATTAAGCTCTGGCTCCAGAGAGGTCAGCTGGAAGAACAGGTGGGAGAGGCCTTTGGCTGCCAGCTCCGAAGGAACAGGGGAAGGATGGAGGGGTCTGGGTGCCTCCTGGGGATCTGGTGTTTTCTGCCTCTGAGCCTCAGCCTCTTAATGGCAGAGTCTCTGGCACCTCAGTCTCCACGTCTGTAACACGGTATGATGATCCTACACCACAGGGTCACTGGTAGGGTGTGATAGAGTAAGCGTCAGTAGCCTCTTTCCTCTGCTCATTATTTCTGCCTCCTGGTGAGACCCCGGAGGCTCCCCAGGGTGCTTAGCACCTAGCTCTGGGAGGGGAGACAGTGAAGTTGGGGTGGGCTCTTCAGCAGCTGCTAGTCCCGTTGTGACCCTTAAGGTGCAGAAGGTTGATGTCGTAGCAGGACTTCTGTCTCATCTGGGCCCCAACCAATAGAACACACACACACAAAGGACCAAAACCACCATGTGGTCCACCAGGGTACAGTCTGACTGGTATGTGGGGATCCCTCACCTGCATGGACAGATACAACTTTGTGGTGGGCAAGGCTGGCTGAGTGCTGCGGGCATCCTCCTGACCACCAGCACTCCTCTACCTTGGAGGCCAGTGGGCTGAAGTGTGTCTAGACTCGGAAAAGCTGCAGACATATGGGGTTGGCACCAAGGTCCAGCCTGGGCCTTCCTCTTGCAGGGGTCCCCAAGGTCTTGGCAGCCCAAGGGAGAAGGCAGCATTTGCTGTGCCCCCATGGGATTTTCAGTCCGTGTAGGCAGGGCCCCACCTGTGGTGGTGATAGGTTGCTGAGCTGAAAACACAGTGGGTTAACTGACAGTCAAACAAAGGATCCAGAAACACAAGCCAGAAAAGAAAGAACCCAGCTTTCCCTTTTCCGGTTTTCAGTGAAAGCTTTCCCCTTTGCTGTGTTTCATCTAAGCTGCGAAGGGAGCTAATAATGCAAGGCTCTATTTCTGCGAAGCCATTTGGAGAGCCGACTACGTGAGATCAAAATACTGGAAACTCGGTAACAAAAGGCCCCAGCCAGCTGCACCCTCCTCCGATGCACAGAGGCCTAACGCGAGTCCTCGCTCTTGGCCCCTGCAGACCATTCAGATCCACGCTCTGCTGTCCCCCTCAGGTTTGAAGCACCAAGTCTCACTTTTGAGCAGCTTTTATTTCACAAGGGACCGTGTGGAGTGGTGGGATCTACCCAGGGATGGAGTCTGAGGGAATTTTTGAAAGAAGCCATTGTTGGGGAGTTTCAGTTGCTCTGCCCAAATCCCTTTCAGGTGCTCCCCAGTGCCGCAGACCAGTCTCTCTCCAGTGACAAACAGCCCTCCAGACTTCAGTGGGTGCCCATAAAACAGCTCTGGTGGATGAAGGAGGGAGAGGCTGTACCCCACAAATCTCGGCCATGGACATCTAGCCAGGAGTTCCAGGCCACTTTCCAGAGTCTCAGCTCAGGAAAAAGGTAAACATGGCCATTTGTCACTGACTTATAAGAACTGTGGTAGCAGCTGTTCTCCCTTAATTAATACACCATTGACTTTGAGCCTCAAAAAATAAAATCCCTTCATTGAGGCAGGTGTGTGGACTCAAATCCATTATCCTGTCGGCCTCCCCCAAAGGGAAGGGGCAGGAGAGCAGTTATGCAGGAAGTCAACCCAACTGTTCCCAAGCAGCCCCCATGAGGCGACAACCAGGCCAGCTCCCATTCCCAGAGAAAGTTTTGGAGACAAGGATTTTACTGAATCTGGACAGAGGGTTCCATTACTAGGCCAGGGAGAAAAGTAGAAGGAAGTCACTGAGGGGCAGCCAGACCCCCAAGAGCCGCATGCTCCCTGATGTCACTGTGTTCTCCTGAGGGTGCTGCTACTCCAGGGCAGAGCAGAAGTTCAGAGTTCAGCATGTTGTTATTTGCCATCGAGTCGGCCCCGACTCCTAGCAACCCCTCCTTGGGTTTCCGAGGCAGTTATCACTACGGAAGTAGGATTGCCCAACCTTCCTTCCAATGAGTGGCTGGTGGGTTTGAACCGCCAGCCTCCTGGTTAGCAGTCAAGTGCCTTTAGGCACTATGCTACCAGAGCTCCCAGAGTTCAGCATACTCAGGATCAGTTCTGCCCTTCATTGGCTGAGGGCCTCAGGCAAATCATTTTCTCTCTTGACGGGGGGTGGGGGAGGTTATTAGGAAAGAAGTGGAAAGAATTAGCCAATACATGATAGCATAATGACATGCTAGACTTTGTTCTAAGTGCTGTAGCTTACTGAATCCTTGCAGCAAACCCATAAGGTAGATGCCGTTGTCATCCCCTTTTTCAGGTGAGGGGATTTTTGACAGAGCAAGGATTTGAACTCAGACAACCTGGCTCCAGAGCCTGTGTTCTCAACCCTGCACTCTTCCATTATTCCAAAGAAAAGAGATTTGTTATGTTGCCATGGATTTGCCAGAACAGAATAAAACAGCTTCATTACAGAGGAAGAGCCAAGATCTCAGAGGCTTCTGGGAGGCTCACCATAATATGCACCCCACCCTATGGCTCCTTTGACCTCATCTCTCTCTACTCTCCTCCAGTTCACTATTTGCTGCTCTTGTCCACATCAGGCCCACGCCTGCCTCAGAGCCTTTGCACTGGCTATTCCACCTGTCCACTCTGCTCTTCCCCAGATCTCTACTCGCCCCCTCACCTCCTTCAGGTCTTCCTCCATCATCAGCTCCTCTGTTTGAGAGTTTAGCTGTACCCCCACTGTGGTACCTTTCTTACTGTAGTCTTATGACTCCTATGAAATGACTGGGTAAGACTATGCCAATAAGGTGCTTGTGGCCCACCAAAGGGAATGGACAGCTTGCTAACAATGCAAATAAGCTGCATAGAACCCCATAAGGGGTGGGGCCATGCAAATAAGGTGTATGGAACCCTAATGAGGTGGTCAGTTTTGCCATCCTGCTGGGCTTAAAAGAAAGCCAACCCCAAACCAGAGCAGAGGACCTCACTTCCACCAAGAAAGAAGAGTGGGGAGTGGAATGCATCCTTTGGACCCAGGCTCCCTGCACTGACAACGACCTATGCTCAGGAGGCAGAGAAGGAGCTGTAACACCAGGGACAGCAAGAAGTGGCAGCAGAATCCAATGGTACAGAAACAGTGACAGCAGAACCAGAAGACCGACAGGAGACAGCCCCATGGACTTCCCAGCCCACAGAGTGAAAGAGCTGAGAGTCTTTGGGTAGGAGGCTTCCTAGCAGAGTGAGTGCCTCCAGGCACTTGACAGAGCTAGGCTACCAGCCCACAGAGCTAGACTGCTGAGCGCCTTCGGGCTGAGGTTTATTGGCAGAGGAGAGTGCCTCTGAGC